TAATAATAATAATACTAATAATATATAAATATATATTGTGTATGCATTATATCAATAAAAATATAATAAACCAAAGAAAAAAAAAACGACAACAAAAACAAGGTAAATCTTAGTCATGTGTTGGGTTCTTTGAATCTTCAGCCTTCGCGGATTTTTTTTTTTTGTTGGTTTTGAGTGAGGGTCAAGGAAATTTCTTCGACGGATTCACCGATGATTCTTTTTCGTTTCCATCACGACGTGTTTCTCTCTTTTTTTTCTTTGTTGCTCTCACTCCTCCTTCTCGTTCGTTTCTGCTTCTTCCTCGCGACTCGGACTTATAAAGAGAACGCGGAACGCGCACACCGGTCAGTCCGTGTCCGTAACGTGGATTAAGAGCAGTCGAATCCAGATCTATCCAGAAATTAAATATAAATCAAATAAACATGAATCAGTGCGTTTTCGTCCTTGTCGCCGCCTTCTTCCTCATCGGTAAGTACTTAACCAGTATCCTTGGATACGATTCTTCATTTGGCTTTATGTTAACAATGCTTCAGTTGTCAGCGAAACAATGTTTTTGGTTGACTGCGAAAAACGAGGAGGCGCTTTCTAAAGGAACAAAATAATACTCCCGTTGGAAAGTAAAACTTGAAATGTGTTCTCTTCATATAAATTTTATTTCTTAAACGTTAAATCTCTGCTATTAAATGACAGACAGCTGCTATCAACGCTTTAGGAAATTTATCCAAGGTTAAGTGCATTATTACAAATTACACATTTCGTTTACCGTAATTACTCTCAAATTAAATAATATTAGATTAATTTAGACTAGAAATTCGTTATATAATCTTCGATACTTTGATACCAATGGAATAATATTGACTAAATTCATCAGTAATTGTAGATTTTTTAAAGCAATTAAAACAATAATTATTAAAAAAAATATAATTAAAATGTATATATAATTAGATGTTAAATGCATATTTTTAATTGCATTTTAATTAATTGCATATTAGATTGGTAATTATGGAATCTTCATATTTATTCCGTGCAGCAATTAAAAACATCAAGTACAAAAAAAGGTATTGATTTAAAATGTATTTAGTTGTTTCATAAGGAAATAATTTTCAATTGTTTTCTCAATTGTCAATTTGACGTTTCTCTATACAAAGTGTCGATTTTGACGTTTCTCATATAATATCACGATTTTGATATTTAAATATTAAAAAATTGTGCATTCAAATTGATCAAACGTTTCATTCAATCTGACCGTTTCATTAATTTCATTTTCATTCATATCTATCAGGATATCGAGAATAACGAAAATCCATCGTTCTTTGTTCAATTCTATTCTCAATTGTCAATTTGACGTTTCTTTATATAAAGTGTCGATTTTGACATTTAAATAGAAAAACAAAATGATATTGATGTTTCCGATTAATTTCATAAATGGTGAACAACACTAAGTTTCACACTCACACTAAATAAGATTTCAAATAAATTTGTACAAAAATTCATTTTATTATTTTACATATTTACAATATATACATATATACAATATACAATAATAAATGTATCTAAAAAATACAAATTATAATTATTTCACAAAATCACATTTCCTCCACCGCCCAAATAACATCGAGGAAACATTTGATTCTCATTTCAAAGTGCTTCATCGAATCGTACATGGAATTCAACTCCTTGTGAAACTCCCATACATAGACAGCGTCCTTCACCTCCATCTTAGTAGAATTAGTCAAGAAATCGCAAGAAACCAAAAGTGTTGTCATGTTCTTAAAGATGGTGTACTCAGCTTGATCAAAAAATCTCTTATATCATAGCTAAGATCATCACTGATTTGGCGATGTTCGTACGAGATGTTGTACTCATCGTTAACATCCATCAACATTGTCTCCATACTATCCCTCCATGCCATCCACTCATGTAAAAGGTTCCTCTCCTTGATAATATCGTGCACGGATTTCGCTATATCTTCGACAATCTTCAAGTTTTTGGAGTACTCGTTACGATTAGGCCCAAGACAATTATTAATCGCTTCGTAACACATCGAAGACAATATTTTTACTTTTTCACTGTCGATCTTGTCATGGCCATTGAGTGAGTTGGCCATTTTTTTTGTAACTGAAATAAGTAATAAATGCGTAGAGCTTGTAGGTGAAACCTTCCTAAAGCTGTTTTCGCTTCGAACTGATGCTTCGAACTAATGCTTTTCACCTACCCTTCTTTGTGCAAAAATATGTGGGGTTGCAAATGTTGTTCCAAGTGGCGGAAGATTACAGCTAAAGGTTGGCCATAATTGTTTTATAATTGCAAATTTTCGGAAATTTGGACTGTCCGTTGTCTAGGCAATAAAACTTACACTTTTTTATGACATTTGAAATATTCAAGTTATTGCTTCTTTTCTTTGAAAATATTTGTAACATTTTCCGTTTCTTTATATGTTGCTATTATTCAATAAAAAAGGTTATTTAAACAATTAATTAGTTTAAACAAAAATTTCAGAAACGAAATTCTTCGTGAAAATTGCACTTCTGAAAATGTAAGACAAAGGTTGAAAAATTGTTTCACTATACAGTGGAACCTTGTTTAACGAGCACCTCGCACAACGAGCATTTCACTTAACGAATTATAAGAAAAATGACTCGCTTAACGAGCGACGTTTCGCATAAAGAGTGACGTTGAGAAGAGAAGTCCCGGATTGCGGAAATTTTGGAACGGATTAAACTCGTTAAGTAAGGTTCCACTGTATTTGATCTGTGGAAATGCGAACGGTCGTTCGTCGATGTGCCAGATGATAAAAAAAAAACAAACGTCAAAATAAAATTTCGAACTAGTTCTCACCGAGTTTTTCCGGATTCGTAATCGCCGGACCCAATTTTGGCCGTACTCTCTCACTATATCTGTATTGTTTACACTCGAACCGAGCGAAAAACAAGCACATCTCATATATTTACATTAACACAGACACTGCACAGCTTCCAATTTGAACCGACGATAAGGACGTTGATAAACTCGACGGACTATTTCATTTTGTTGTTTACGTAACGGTGGCAATCACTGTGACGTAAACAAAATAAATAAAACAAAAACAAACAATTGTTTGACGGGTTTCGGTAATTTTTCTCGAAAATCGATGGAATTTCAACTTTTTTTTTTGTTTGTTGTTGTTGAATGTCAAGGTGATTGAACTCTCGATTCGTAAGAAAGAAATAAATTTGAATTCAATGTAAATTTCTATTGTTCAGCTGCGTTAATCACATCAAATCCCATTCACACTGTCGCCGTACGTGTTTCTTGAATACTTTGACACGCGCATTCTTCTCGCCTCGAGACGTGAAAGAAAAAAAACCTTATATCTTCGAGAACAATGGTGATTTCTGCAAGAGTGCTTGTTTCTTCACTTGAGAAGTAGTGCATCAAATCCGCTGAATTCAGTTGTTGCAAAAGTAGTTCAAATTTACCGTTTGTAAGCAAATGTTAATTTGTTCAGATTGCGAGAGTAGTTCAAAACGAAAACAAACAAACAAAAGTAGTTCAAATCAACCGATCAATATTTTTGTTAGTTAATAAAAAGAAAATCTAAAAAATGAACTTATTTGAATTGCAATAGAATTGTAAAAGTAGTTCAAATAATTACACTTACAATCCGCCGATTTAAATTGTTTCACAAAAGTAGTTAGATTTTCAATGTCATAAAAACTATGATATATGTTGTTTGAATTGCAAATGTATTAGCATAAGTAGTTCAAAAAAAAAAACTATAAGCTATTATTAATAGCATATAGAGTTTGCAACAGGATCTGCTCTCGATCGTAACCCGTTATATGAAATACCTCTTCCAATTCCGAAAGAAACAAATATATATATTTACCACGCGCGCTTTTGCGTCGATGATTAAATCGAGCAATCTAGGGAATCCCGAAGACTATTCTCGTCGGATAATCCGGTTGAGCAAAGGTCATCGTCTTAATTAAATCACTACATCCATCCTGTTTCACAACTATTATTATTGATTTTTTATTGTTGTTTGTTTGTAATCGATACTCGTGCTGCTGCTTGCTTTTGTACGTCAGACGTGCACACCTACTTTGATTATTTAAAAAAATTATGAATCATCAATTCGTTTTATTTACTTGTTGTCATATATGATTGTCATTAATTGATCGGTTTCATGGTTAACATTAGCTGTCATTTTGACAGCACAGTGGAATGTGTAAAAGTCCTCGATACTTTAATTGCATCCTGCTTCAACACCCATTCAGCGCGAGGATCCGTTAATCTTTCTGAAAGCTCTTTGCTAATTGGCAAATAGTTTTTTTTTCTATATTAGAATAATCGCAACGTTTCGATTGACCTCACAGTAGGAATTTTGATGTTCTTGGGTTGGTCTAGTTTCCTGTTAACGGGGAATCTCTAATTGACGTTAAAAACGTCAATTAAAAGTCAATTATCATCGATTGACTATTTATCTACTTCCTATAGATATAAACTAACTGTAACTTAGATATTTCCTTTATTAAGTAAAATATACACATTTTATGAAAGAATTATGTAACTTCTTTTTATGTCGTTTTTGGACATTATCTTGAACATAATTGCTCGTTCATATTTATATAATAATAATTTCCTTGGAGCTGTGATCTCATCCGTCGACCGAACCGATGGAAACCCTCAAGGTTTCCCCGCCTGTGCTGTCATTGAGATCACCGGTTCCGTGCTAAAAAAAAATTATGCAAAAGAGATCTTCCATTGTTGGTGGAAGCATACGTGTTTAAAAATAGATTGTCAATAAATTTTGCAGCCGGATTCGAAAATAATAACAACATCAACAATAAACGAAACACGATTGTGAGTAATTAATTGAATCGATCCGTGCGCATTGTTATGCAGATTGCGCAGTTTATAAACTTCTCATTTAAATCAATTACCGCGGTCAACCGCAAATTATCGCTAATTCCCTATAGACAATTCAATTTGCTAGTTTTGAGAATCAAATAAATTATTTTCGCATTTCAAGTTTTGTTACTTTCCAATGTTGTTGTCTTCATTGTTTCTATTGCAACGGATACTTAATCATTAATCAAGTGTAGTCTGTCAAAGTGTCAATTAACAATGAGTGACAGCTGTCATTTTAATTGGACGTTGTCAAATGAAATATTGATGTTTCGGTTTAAGTGTCAATTACCGCGGTCAACCGCAAATTATCGCTAATTCTCCATAAACAATTCAATTTGCTAGATTTGAAAACCAAATAAATTATTTTCGCATTTCAAGTTTTGTTACTTTCCAATGTTGTTGTCTTCATTGTTTCTATTGCAACGGATACTTGATCATTAATCAAGTGTAGTCTGTCAAAGTGTCAATTAACAATGAGTGACAGCTGTCATTTTAATTGGACGTTGTCAAATGAAATATTGACGTTTCGTTTTAGGTGTTTCCGGTCAAGGTCCAGTGAACCAGAAGTGCTTGGGATGCATCTGCGAAGCCATCAGCGGATGCAACGCCACCCAGATCTGCGCCGGAGACGTCTGCGGACCGTTCAGAATCACCTGGCCGTACTGGTCCGACGGCGGTAAGCCGACTTTGAACGGAGAAGCCAAGGATTCGCCGACCGCCTACAAGAACTGCGCCACCGACATCTACTGCTCCGCCTTGGCCGTCCAAGGATACATGGAGAAGTTCCAAAAGGTACGAAACGCATACCCAAATCTGAACGACAGTAAAATAATTTCTATATTTCTCCTTTTTGCAGGATTGCAACGGTGATGCAAAGATCGATTGCGACGATTACGCCGCCATCCACACGTTGGGAGGATACGGTTGCCAAGGAAACCTGCCGCATATTTACAACGAGAGGTACCAACAGTGCAAGAAACTGGTCAGCTGAGGAGGGACGACTCGATTTTAGCGCACAACCAAAACCGGATACAATCTCTCTCCAATATTTAATTTTTGTCGTCTTAAAAAATGTACCATTAATTTATTGAAATTCTTTATCAACTTTTGAACCAAGCCAAGATTTTTAATTACTATTACGTTTTATTAGGTTTATTATTTATATCTATGTATTTTCCTTGAAATAAAGCAAATACTTTTACATATTATTCGTTTTTTTTCTGAATTAAACTTTTTTTTTGAATTTTTAAAATTCCGCCAAAACTGTCAAAATTAAAATTTTTATTATAGGCAAAACTTTATACTTCTTAAGCAAAATCAAAAATTAATCTGAAACAATGTTTGAATTAAACAATTGTTTTAATACGAATGTCATAGTTTATATAATTTTATTGTAGGCAACATAATAATCACGTTTAGTGCAATTAAATATACAAACAAATAATAAGAAGTAGAACATTATTCTTTTGAACCTTATTTAAATAACTCAAAAATATTAATTCCATATTTCTTAGTAAAATTTTAAATATTAATAATTTTTATTATAGGCAACATAAGATCCGTATTATTTCAATACTGGTCACAGATTAGAACATATGTAGTATAATTATATATTTTCAGATGGCGCTTCAAGCGTTCATTGATTATTTATTTATATGATAAATGTATTTACGTTCATTTGCATTATATGCAACACAATATACTTGTAACAATTTCAGGTGTTACATAAGCTTACTATTAAAGACTTAACGAGCGTGACCAAACCTTATTAGACATTAAATAATTATTTGAAATAGAAAACAACATATTAATTATTAGAAAATGTAATGATTAAATGCATCGCATTTAATATAATTATAGAATTATCATCGTTTCTCTTTCACCTAGAGGTTATCAATAATTTAATCATAGACTGAATAGAACGAATAGAATCAGTTTTAGCCATAATAAATATTTGAAATCATGTAACATAATTAATTTAATATAATTGAAATAACTTCAAAGAAAAGAAGAAAACCAGGCTCCTCCACCATTATTTATAAAACACCTTAAAAAAATAGAACTAATTGAATAAATTTGAACTAAAAAAAGAATTGTCATTTGTGACATATAATTGTCACAAATGTCAAAACATATTTTATTCAAATTTATAAAAGAAAAACCTTTGCAAAGCATTAGAATTCACAATTTTTATTCAATTCAATTTATTTCCTGCGGTTTTGCACCTGCAACGTTAATTCCGATCATTCCATTATGGTTTTCGTTTTTAACAAGAAATTTTGTTATCATTCATGCAATAACTATAAACACGTGATTGTTTGTTTACTAGTAAAGAAAGCCTCGTTTTTCCCGCATTTAGTCTTCGAATAGCCTCGTTCGGATCACAGAAACGGGTTTTCAGTATGCAATCCGACAACATTCCGTGCGCACATTTCTATATATCCACGACGAACGGCAGGTAGTGAAGATGAGCCAATAAGCAATAAACGGACTTACTTAAACTGGACGAGAAATTTACAAACAAAACACAAGAAAAAGGTGAGTGCTTTCTATAAACTTAATATCACACCAACTTCGCATTTCAACAAATGTCCAAAAAAAAACAAAAAAGGATTTTCTAATTAAAGTAATCAAGCAATAGAGATAAAAACAAAAAATTGTTTGTCAATGTCATTAAGTTTTAGTGAAGATTTTAGAAGTTTTTAAGACGTAAAACTTTTAACTAATGCCGACTATGATTAAAAGTTGTGGGATTTTACAGGTGATTTAAATTTAAAATTACTGCGGTTGATCAATTGATGATGTTGTGCGATGAGAATTCATTAATGTGTCTTTCCATTTATTTTCATTGATCGAAGCATTAAGTATTAATAAATAATAGTTGTTAATAACAAAATATTTGTTTTCTTTCTCGAAGCTTGTTTACCGGAACGGATAAAACAATTACGCAATCTGTGATTTGCTCTTGAGAAAACAGATACGTACGTCGTCTGCTCCGTCTGAACGGGAAACCGAAGCAAAAGTGAAATGGCAGGTGGATCGTTTCAATTCACGGCCAGTTGCATTGCGATCGCTGTAATTGCCCAAGTCTCTTTCCATTTGGTGCGTCCGCAAACAGGTGAGTGTTGTTTCCGTGAATCGTTTAGAACGTATTAGGCAATTACCGATTAATCGCGGTAGTTTACTCAATATTAAGTAAAACGACAAAAAGAAAAAATTCCACACATTCCAGAAACGTCAAAAAGTAAAAATTCCGCACATTC